TATTACCGTGTTTCTCATATAATAAGGCCGGGTCTTATTTTTTTTTTGAGCCCCCAAAAAACAGCTAGGCTGTCTTTTCGGGGATGACTTAATTCCCCCCCCTTGCATCTTAGGGCAGGCAGCGACGGCTTGGAAGTTGACCTCGGCGTTGGTGGGGCACTTTGTATCAGGGTCAACGCAGGCAGCACCATATCCGGGTATGCAACAAAAGTACTTCCTAACAGCAAGCCCCCCCGCCATCCCCCCCCATTTCGCATGTTTTAATATAGGCCTTAATTTGGGGGGGGGGGCTTTATTTCATTTCATGCCTATAAAACATGCTGGGACTTCCTATTGGGGGAGGCCGTATTGTTGGAGAAACAGGGTATCCTGCCCATGTATTCACCTTTGGATAGAATGCTTAGATCAGGGGTCCCTAATCCCCGGTTGAGGACTGGCAGTCTGCGCAATCAAGCGAAGCCCATCTGTGGGATGCAGGCAGTATGCAAAACCACGTGCCCTCTTATCCATGGAAAAAACTCTCTCCAAGGAACTCCCAAAAGGTTGGGGACCATGGCTTAGATTGTCCACCTCAATGGAGTAACCTCGAAATGCTTGCCCCTTGAGGTGCATTTTCCTTCCCACAATCTTGTCCTTCTACAAAACCCTGAATTTGACTGCCATGTTTCAGATATTACTCGATGGGGGTGGGGGTAGGAGGGTGAGGAATTGAGAATGCTTTAAATTGGATTTGTGTTTTGATTTAAAAAAGAAGAGTTAGTGCAATGTTATTTATTATTGCGGGATTTGGGATTTGTTTGAGAGTTTGTTGTTCTGCTTTGCAATTTGCCTTGAATCTTTGGGAGCTGGCAGAATATACATTTTTGCAATAAACAAACAAATAAAATATACATATGAGCAATGTCAAAGTATTTGAGCCAAACAAACCAAGTAACTTGCCAAGTCTAAAATATTCTGATAAACAAACATTACATACAGTCCTGACTTCTTAGGTTAGCACATAGTTCATTTTTTTCTGATATTATGGTAAGCATCATAACTGCTATGACCTACAATTCATTTCCTTGCAATGCATTATTTTAAAAATTCCATTGAGTACGTTTATTTAGAATGTTTGCCTCCCTAAAAACTCAGGCACTAATAAGGGAAAGGTATATTTCCAAACTGTTATCCTTTTGATAAAGAAAAATAGTAACTCCTATTCAGAAATGACAAATTATATTAATGCCAAACAACACATACTGTATTCACTTCTCTATATAACAATAATGCTTACATTTCGAGGAAAGGTGTTTTACCCATATTTAGCTTCAGCCAATTATCTTCTAATGAAACAGTGAAAGGAAGATTGGATAAATGTTGCAATTCATGACGACAAATCAGGTTCAGTTGACAAAATAATCTTTACCTCAATGTCTGGCCTTTCTTTAGGATTTTCTTTCTGCATTTGTCCAAGCAGAGAATAGAGATCCTGGCTAAATTCCGGATCCGTTTCAGTTTCCATTGTATACTCTAGTGCTGCTGTTAAAGTAGCTCCTAAGGAATACAGATGGGCCTGCAGAAATTAAAAACAAAAACAAGGTACTCTATCAAGTACCACTTTGTATTTAAATCCAACTTAGCCTCACTAAAACCAGTGAGTTATAATTAACATTATCTGGAAGCTTAAGTTGGTGCAGAATGCACTACTCAAGCAGTTTTCTTTGAGCTGCATTGGTTTCGCTTCCAGGTCTAATTGAGAGTGTTGGTTACCGCCTTTAAAGTCCTTCATGGAGTTGGTTCAGGGCTATCTGAGGAACTGTCACACCCACACCGGTAGAAAAAGCATGCAATGGACTCCATCCGTCAAAGACTTTTGTTTGGCGGGATCCATCCTTTTGGCCTTCCGAAAGGGTTTGAAGACATGGCTGTGCTAACTGGCTTGGCGCCCCAATGGAGATCTGGCATTCTGAAGATGGGTAATAGATTAGATAACATCCCATCTCCTCCCACTGTCCCAAAGTGTGTACCTTGCTCCATTTCTCCCCATCTTGGTCAATTTAATTTTCACTGAATTTTAAATTTAAGATCTTTATTGTTTTAAAATTTTATTGGACATTGTAATGGAACGCTTGTAAGCAGCGTAGAATCACCCTTGGCAGTTGGGCAGCATATACATTGAATGAATGAATGAATGAATGAATGAATGAATGAATGAATGAATGAATGGACATCTCATTTTTGTGTACAACATAAAAGGACTCTTATTGACATTCCATTACAGAATATTTGAAATGTCTTTAAATGTATCCTTTCATATTTTATAACACTAATCCTTCTTTTTTTCTTGACTAAATAGTTGAAAGGGAAAACTCTGTATTAAGCTAACCTGGAGGCTGGAGTTAGAATATATATAAGGGAAAAAAATTACCCACTTCCCTGATTCCCCATTCATATCTTTGCACTAAAAAAGAAGCAAACCCCTTACAAATACAACATAAGTAATGAACAAGCTTTAACTAGTTCTACAATGTCTCAGCTGAACCATTGTATCAGGATTACATAGTTCTGGGAAGGAGCAAACATGGCAGAGTTAATTAAACTGAATAATACAATTATAGATTTATGCATCACACTAAGATGCAATATGATATGTTTATTTTTGATTGATGCACACGATCATCAGCAGGATGGAAAATAAATAGTATCTGAAACAACTCCGACATATTGTCACCATGAATGATTCTTTTTAATTCAGGTAAAAACAAAGCCAGTAGTTTATCAGATTTCCACTAGATGGAGCTTTCTTCAAATCAGTCCAAACTATTTATTGTAAACAGAACAGGTAAACTATCTCTGCCAAATATTCCTCAGAACAATACCAAGAGTTATACTTTAAACATTTTTAAAAAAAGAATTATAATTTTAACTTCAGTAAAATTAATGAGTTAATAGTTTTAAGGACTCTTTTAATGAAATACAAGATAGGAAAAGAAAAGGAAGAAAGGATCAAGGCAGAAATTTCAACATGGGGAAAATACAATTTTTTCTTATACATAAGCTTGATGAAGACTGGAAATCCCTATTGCCAGGTTTCATAAAAAGCACAAGAGATGGGTAGAAGCACAGCTTAAGGACTTGCTACAAAGCAGTCCTGACATTTGTAATCTAAGAAATTCAGATGTTAATTGACAAAATATCTCCTTTTAAGTTTTGTAGGACAATTCAAAGGTACAAACCACTCTGACATAAATTATGAAAAGAAGATCTTTAGTGTTCCCAGAGCTGTAGAGCTAGTCCACTGCACCTTTGCACAAATGCACTTTACATAAACACAGGCCCCACCCTTTCTTGGTTTTCCTAGAAAACAAGGGGAACTTGGTTCATTCCCTTCAGGTAAAGTACAACTTTAGTCCTCAACTTATGTCCAAAATTTACCCCCAAATTCCTGTTGCTAAGTGAAGCATTTGTTAAGTGAATTTTGTCCCACTTTACAACCCTTCCTGCCATGGTTGTTAAGTGAACCAGTGCAGCTTTTAAGTTAGGGACACAGTTCTTAAGTGAACCTGGCTTTCCCCATTGACTTTGCTTGCAAGAAGGTCACAAAAGGGGATCACAGGACCTCGGGATATTGCAACCCTTGTACATATGAATCAGTTGTCAGGCATCTGAATTCTGTTCACGTGTCCACGGGGAGGCTGCAACGTTCGTAAGTGTGAAAAATAGTCATAAGTCAGTGCTGTTGTAACTTTTGAAAGTTCACTAAATAAACTGTTGCAAGTCGAGAATTATTTGTATTGGTAACAAAACCAAGATCAATTATCAGAACCCATCTTCAAATAATTTTGGAGGGCAAGAAAAAATGAAAAGGAGGGGTGATTGGCTGACCTTTATTGGACATGCTCTAGTAAAGGCTAAAATAAACCTTCCCAATTCTATGAAAGTTATAGACAAAATGCATATTAGTGAATGAATGAATACAAATGATCATACAGTTTTTTAAAACCACGGATGAAAAAACAGAACTGAATAGCTTCTATTTTAATACATGCAAACACTAACACAGTGAATTTTCCAGCAAGGATCTAGTAGAGACTCATGTAGGTCGAGTCAGCTTCCCAGCCTTCCAAGGTCTGTAAAATGTTGGAAGCAACATGCTGACTTGGTAAACTGCTTAGAGAAGGCTGGAAAGCTCTGTGAAGTGGTATGTAAGTCTAAGTGCTATTGCTATTCTGTGAAAAAAACATACTGATAAAATCATACATATTTTGCAATATGAACAAAATTGGACATGGGAGAAATCAAGAGGGGTGATGGGATATAGTTATAGGGGAAATTTTAGTTATGGTAATACATTAACATTTGGGACCAGATATATTACACATATATTGTACAAAATATGGTGCGTCAAAACACCTATGCAGTACTCAGAAATACAGCATATGTTTTTGTCACTGCTTTCAAAAGCAAACTTTTCTGAGACCAAATCTTGGCTGAAAAGTAAGTTATAAATATGTTAAATGCAATCAAGCAATAATTATGCTAATATATTTGACTATTTAGCAGATAAAGTAAGCAAGTTGAGCTCAACACAGAGTTTTATATATCTTTGAAGTGATGAGTTTCTGGGAATGATTACTATTGGGGACTATAATCTTTTGGCTCCAAGGGGCTCCAAGTCGTGAACTGTTTAAAAAGCAATCAGATATACATTCAACAAAAACAGTCTCAATCCTTCAAATATGATTCAGCACTCCAAGAGACAAATAGGCAGTTTGGTGTAGTGGTTAAGGCATCAAGCTAGAAATTGGGAAACTATGAATTCTAGTCCTGACTTAGGCATAAGCCAGCTGGCTGAACTTTGGCCAGTCACTCTCCCTTAGCCCTAAGAAACAGGCACAGGCAACCACTTCAGAAAAAATTACCAAGAAAACTTCAGAGACTTTCCAGGAGACAGCACTTATTCAAAAGTGCAAATACATGCACAAACAAACACAAACACACAGAAACTCTTTAAAAGAAATAATCAGAAGTTTCCTGCAAAAACATATGAGATTTCTAAGTGATATTTTGATCTTTGTTTTAGCTGGTTGACACTATATACAGTACTATACTTGATGCATACATAATGTTTTTCCATCCCATCAATTTTATCCTTACAACAACTCTGATAAGAACATGACATTAAAAAATACCTAGTGTATTTGCAATAATATGCTATTGTTTCAACCTAGCTTTTGAACATAGGAAAAATTCAAAATACAAGGTGGTTTTCAGATGGATATGGCTGCTGGACAGAAACTTCCAGCAATCATGCAAAACCAGAGTGGGAGAAATTTATCTATCGAGAAAATATGAAAGAAGCAGATAGCTGTTATCTGAAAGAGCGGTGTTGAACATAGGTGAGACCAAACTAAGAAAGAAATGGATAGGATATTTTAAACTTCAAATAGGAAATTAATATATATGTTTATCTTATTGCCATTGCTCCCCTTTAATTCTCTTCATTTTGCCTTCATGTGGTCTAAAATTTACAAACTTCTCAATTCAAGTATGGAATGAGGTTCCTTGCCCACTTTCTGGACAACAACCAACCGTTCCAAATCCAAATGGCAGGGTGAAAATTATTTTAGCGTTGTGATGTGTATAACTGTTTTTTCTATTCAGCTTTAATAAAACAATCAATTTATCATATTACATTCCATAAAAACCCATTTCAGCAAAGAACAAAGATACTGGTGTCTTTTAAAAGAATATGACAAATTTCTTATTCTGATTCAATTTCCATTTTAAACTTATTCAATGAAACTCAACAATATATTGTTTTTCATGTAGTTATAGTAATGAAAATGTTAAGCAGGACAAGGGAAAATATGCAAACCTCAACAGAGGTCTAAAGGAACACACAAGGAAAGAGACCCCAAAAGCTTGTACACTATTTCTGTGAGAGTGTATTAGTTTAAAGGCACTACCTTTATTGGATCAAGAAAAGAATTTAAACACACATAGTTTATAATCTCCCTTCCTTAAGTCAAGGGAAAATACTTTAAGCCCAAAGAAAAGAAAAGGTTAGATGGATCTAAGCAATATCATTTACAGAAATCTGCCCAGGAGCACTGAAACTAAAAGTTGCAGCTGTATACACAGATAGAATCAGGCAGAGATAAACTTAAGGAAAAGCACAGAAAGCAGAGTAGTTTTTAAAACCAGATTCTGCAGACACTAGTTGCTACAAAACTGTTCAGAATAACACAATTATATATGTCTTAAAGGTTGCCCGAAAAGGGTAGGAAAGAAATGTTTGCTGTTCCTATAGTTAATTAAATGAGTCACATTTTAAAAGCCTATATGATACAATAGCTTAGATCAGGGGTGTCAAACTCTATTTCATTGAGGTCCCCATCAGGGTTGTTTGACCTTGGGGGGTGGCCAGGGTGGGCATGGTTAACTCAACAACACTTGTGTTGGGGCACCTGTGGTGGCCTGGGTGCTCTGCCAGCTACGACGGCTTCCTGCAACCCTCTGCTCAGCTGCGTTTTCACTGGCACAGGCACCACGGGCCGGTCCTTCATTGTTTCCAGGTTGGCCCCGCAAGCCAGATGTAAGCACCCCGTGGGCTGGATCCGGCCCACAGGCCTTGAGTTTGACACCCCTGGCTAAGATGCTTAGATTTTTTTTAACACTGAGCACTCACATACTGCGAACAAGGGAAATCCATATTTGTAATCTGCGGTATCAGATTGAATGGTAGCTTTGTAATATGGACAAAATGCCAATTTGGGGCTTGAGTTGACACGAGCAACTCATTCCGCTTAGGCCCAGCAGAAGCCTATTGTTGTGCCGGTGAATAGAATGAATCTATTAAAGAAATCTCAGGTGGGAATTTATGTAGCAAACCTTTATTGGAAATGTGCTGTCATCTCTTTTCGGAATGAGTGCGACTTGGGGAGAAAAGGCGGCAAGTGGAATTCCCACGGGGAGAATGAAAGCCCGTAAAGATGGGAGTTTTTAAAAACCAAGCATTTCGTAAAAATGCTCAGCGTTTGGAGCATTGCAAAAACTCATTTTAATTGCAAATTCAAGACAGAAACTATTTTTTTTTTTAAAAAAGTAACATACAGTCTAGGGCTTTCATTCTCTTTTCAAATATTTACTCATAGGTTGTTCCACAATACTCTCCGTTAATCTGTGGTTCCATTATTACTAAGAGCAGAACGCTTGGGCATGCTCTGGCATCTTTCTCATTTCCTTGAAATGTGTAGAGCTCGGCCTCCAAGACTAAAGATGCAGTTCTGGAAGAAATGTAGTGAGCAATAACACATCAACTAGGAAGTTATGCTTGTTATTTTTCCTTCCTCACTAAATAATCATAAACTGCAGCCTATCTGAGGAAAAACTTTCAACTCATGGACAGTAATGCTTCTAAATTTTCAATATTATTATAATAGACTCAGTTTAGTCTAGCGGTTAAGGTACCAGCCTAGAAACCAAGAGTTCAAGTCCTGCCTTAAGTATGAAAATCAGCTGGGTGACTTTGAGCCAGTCACCTTTTCTCTCAGACAACCCAACTCATATGGTTGTTACTGTGGAGAAAATAGGAGGAAGCCATGTTGGATACGTTCACTACCTCTTATTGATGTAATGGAATTATGAAAACAGATATCCTGAACAGCAGAGAACATGATGGAATGAGAATAGGATGGAATAGTTAAATAAAAATTGGGCGTATCATTTAAAAAGTACAGCGAGAAGAGATAAAGAATTAAGATGGGTCAGGCAGAGAAAGCAGAAATAAAAAATAGTTAACTAGGACACTTGCTGAAAAAGTCAGGTGTGTTGGATTGTGTGATTAACCAGAACTGCATTCTTTGAGAGAATTCTTACTTTGTCAAAATGGCCATGTAGGAGATGACCAGGCTGAGCCTGAGGAAGGGGTCAAGTATGTCATCAGTCTCAAGTCCATTCGCATCCACAAGAGATCTAAATCCAGTCCTCCTTCAATTCTGTTAACTCTTATCTACTGCAATTTCTCCTTGACCATTAGTAGACTCCATTGGAAGGAGTCTTAGAATCTGGATCACAGAATATTTTGGTCAGTGTTTTCTAGGAGCCAACACCTTGTAGAGAACTCCTGGATTAATCTTTAGCCCAAAGACAACTCAGTGATATATGGCCTGTAAAGCTGTTTACAATGATTGTGTTTTATAACTGTTTTGTTGAATACTGGGACTTCCAGTATTCTGCACCCATAATGAACTGGTTCACTTAGCAATCCCAGCATTGATTTTATGACCCCAGCATTCACTTAACAACTTGTTTGTTGACCATCATAACATTTGATCCTAATTGGCAGACTCCATTACAATTATGTGTTGAGGGCTATCTGCATTGTAAAGTCTAAGAACCACTTGATCTATGAGATTGTGCAGAAGTGGTCATCAACAGTTTAAGAATATGGTGTCCTGTTCTATTGCACTATTATATCTGACTCAGGAGAGGATGTTCTGGATCTGGGTCAACATTTGGATGCAATGGCCAGCAGGATGGAAACTGATCTGATGCTGAATCTACACTATATAACAGCCTATCGATAGGTTGCTTCCAGATGTAGAAAACACTTGCAGAACTGCATTCCCACAGGAATTGATACATCGCCTAGATATATTCATGGATCAAGCAGGGTCACTAAAAGCCTAATTGACAAAGCCCTTCAGTTGATAAAACAATTATGTCTCCCCCTGGATAGGGGACAGCTTAGGCAATTGATACATGCCCTGATAACCTCAGTTTTTAATTACCGTAATGTATTATGTGTGGGGCTGTCAATATGATGGAAAGCTAGGCTAATGCAATATTGAGCAAGTTACTGCCACTGCAATATAATGTTATTTTAAGAATTTTACTGGCTGCCACTTTGCTACCAGGTCAGGTATAAGGGTGTAGTATTAACCTATTTGAGGTTAAATATGTTCAGTCTGCCCAATGTAATCATCCTCAGATGATGCCTGTAGCTATTTCATCTGATGCCATGCAGAAAAATACATTATCAGAGGTAGCTCTAGTTTTTAGAATCTTGGTTGGACAGAAAATAAAATAAATAATTTAGGGTAAGCTGATTTTTTTAAAAAAAATCACCTTGACATTTACAATTTTATAATTGTATTCTTGTGCCAGCTGTGACCATTTTTGCAAGACAAAATGTATTTTATAATGTATTGAACTTATTTTAAAATGCTATACACTGGGTAGATTTTTAAGACATAAGTACTCTTAAACTTTTGCTCACCGTTCTGCTCAACTGAGTGCTCAAGTAAGCTTACAATAATTTTAAAAAGTACAAAAAGTTTTAAAATAGACTAAAGTTAATATTGAAATAAATTAACAATTAAAAAAATACTTCGAGACATTACTGAACAGATGTGAGAAAACTACATTGATTTGATTTTACTTGACCTTTTATGATAATAAAGCATCCCTGAAGACCTGTGTAGTCCTACCAGCCAAGATTTCAGAAACAATTACTAATAATTAGAAATACATCAATGCATATAATATCTAACAGCCCCCTTCAATTTTACCTTAATTCCTGATAACGTTAAGGGTTGCTTGAAGATTTTTGCCACAATCCTGGAACTTCTTAGCAATTTCACTTCCATATATTAGCTAGGTCTGCCAAGCCTAAGCCAGGTAGGACAATACCATGTGGATCTGCTGGGATATCACATTCTAGCAAGACCCAACCTAAGAGAGAATTCATCTTAACATTTCCACATATTGTTGTGGTTTGCCGGCAGCAGATGTGGACAGTTGAGGTCTCTGACAGCAAGACTCGGACGAGGGGCCTGCGTGTGATGCAGGGATAGGCCCAGGACTATCGGAGGGTGGCGTACTGCCTTCGGAGGTTGTGGAGTCTGGCAGCAGTGACAAAGAGGATCCCAGAGAACTTGTGCTCAGTGTGCATGTGTGCAGGGCTGCTCGAAGGAAACAGCAGCTGAAGCAGCACGGGCGACTCAGGTGTAAGGCTGGAAGGTGATGGCCCCTCTCATAAGGGATAAAAGCCAGCCTTCGGGGTTGACTTCTTTGCAGGAAGCGAAGAAGTTCTTTATGCTCAGAGTTCTCGTCAAAGCCCTTTTTACTCCAGTTTGTTTTTTGAAACTTCTGGCTTGGGATATTTATCTACAATTAGTCTTTTGTTCTTGGCAGCCTTTCACACCTTGAAAGGGCTTCACTTACCTGGGACAATTAGTTTGAAATGACTCTTGGCTGTGAATGCACAAAATTCACAGCACCACATTAAAAGAGGTTTGCTTTTATGAACAATTTGTGTTTGTTTGATTTGAACAAGGTTTGGGTCAGCACACATATATAGAGTCTTTGGAGATCTCTGAACTCTGTTGCTTGCTTACCAATGTTTCACTACCCAACTAGGCAATATCATCAGTTGTCAGAGTCACATTGATGATGAATCTAGTTGTGGAGTGAAACATTGTCAAGAAAACAATCAAGTCAGAGAGCACCAACGTCTCCACAGTTCAACCCTGAGCTACACATATTCTCTTCTACTGATTCCCACACATGCTGAACTTCTTATTTTTTAAATAATAGAACTTTAAATAATAGAATTCTCAGTAGAAAACTAACAACTGATGAGGCCTTTGGATATCTGATCTTGAAAGCTAATGAATTAGTGAGTATAATTAAGACTCTAATACAATGCAACCCTAAATAACATTTAAGAATCATTAGACTAGGAAGATTCATGTCTTCAGAAAATAAAATATTCCAAAATTATTTTTACTGGAAATACCAAATAAGGTTACAGCTTGCTACAATCGTTATAGTTAGACTATGAACAAATACGTACAATGAAACACAAACACGAAAATATGTTTACTATAAAGGAATACATTTATCAAACATTTTCTTCCAGTATGTCATAGACTAATTACTTAACAATCATTGTCCACAAATAAAAATGGCAACAGAAGATACATTTAATAAATTCTGACTAAACTCTAGTGGAGAAACCACATGGATATTCATATTTGGGAACCATACTAAGCATTCAACGTTTTAAAAACATTTCTTTACAATTAAAGACATTCTGAGCTGTAACAGAAGAGATTATTACTTACTTCAAATGTGTTTCCAGTTTCATCAATCTCTGGTGGGACGAAAGCTCCTTCTGGATCATCTTTAAAAAGAATGTTAAAAAATTAAAATCAGTTCAAGACAGAGCAAAAATTAATAAATAGTAATATTTTAGCTTAAGTTTAAAGATGTTGGTTTTTATTTGGAGCGACAAGTGTTCTGATTTTCCTCTTTGTAATATATTCAGTTCTTGTAAATCACTTGGAATCTTTACAATTTTACAAAACGTATAAATGTATGTGATAGATAAATTAAATACAATGTTCCAAATCATTTAATATAATTGAGTCTAATTTCATGTGAAAAATATCTACATTAATGAGCAAAGCAAATTTTTTCAGACATAAAATCTACAACATTTTCTATGTAATACATTATACAGCTTGGGTGGAATGAAAATAAATATTTTTGGCATCAAACTTTAAATGGAGTATTGGAAAAAGAACTTGCTGTCAATATGTTGAATGTATTTGCATATCAAGTGTCTCAATCATTTTGTTTTAAACATTCAAGTACAATGAAGAGACTATTCATAGTTTTCAAATCTGCTCAGTTCATGCTTTTACACATCACAATTGAAGCCACTGCCTCATTACTAAGAGAGACAATTCAATCAGAACATTTTCCACAAAATGTGTTCCCTTGTCATTTCAACAATTACATTGGGGTGAAATGAAATATAAAAATGTACTGTTAATGCACTTATGAGGAGATCTAGCAGTCACAGTAATGTTGGTATTATTATTTTAAAAAGTGTGTGTGTGCGTTTGTGTGCGCTCGTGTCTGGATTAAAAAGCACAGAACAACCTTGTTGAAGATCTCTGGGGCTGTTCCATTCGTTTAATGTTTAACAAATACTGTCAATCATGTATCAATATATTTCAGAAGAACACTGAGGAATTTGTTTACATTTGACTTCATGTCCTTAAGATTTATAATCTATCAATTTCTAAAAAGCAATAAGATCTATAAAGTTGAGAGAAGGGGGTGGGGGAGAATCTTCCAGAGTTCTAATTCCCCTCTATAAAAATAAATGTCTTGATATTTAAGAAAGTAACAGCATGACATCCCAGCATCCTCTGTCATCCTCAAATATCCCTAAGAATTATTAACTACACAAATCTTGAAATGCAAAGCTCATGAAAGAATAAATGGAAAAATTAGGGAAAGTTTCAGAATTCTGGTTCCTGTCCTGCACTACACCAAGATTTTGCCCCAAAGCAGGACTAACTAGGAATCAAGGTCCCCAAATGGGCAAGTCAGAACCTTGCCTGTGCAAAAATCCAATCAGGAACCAACACCACCAAAACAACCAATCAGGATCAAGCACAAGCCCTAACCCTGACCAATCAGAAACCAGCCCCCTGTAACCTGTACCAATAGGAAGCCAGCTTAGCTAAAGACCAATCACAAGTCAATTCACCTGGCTGTAAAGATGGACAGTCCAAGTCAGCCACTGTTTGCTGACTACCTTGTCTCTGAAGATGCCAATATAGTTACTGGTAGAACCTCAGGAAGTCTATGATCTAGATCATGGTCATAAATCCCTGAAGCTCAACATAGCCCAACAGATACAAATAGTCCTTGACTTATCACTACAATTGGATCACTGAGCACAACAGTGACATGTCTATGTGACCACTTTGCTCAATGACTGCAATTCTAGCTCTCTCAACTGCAGTTGTTAAGCAATCATGAAGTGCCACAGGAGGTAGGGGAAGCCTGGCACCCACCATCACCCATTAACCTGTCCTGGACCTCAGTTAGCTACAGCAGGGGTCTCCAACCTTGGCAACTTTAAGACTTGTGGACCTCAACTCCCAGGATTCCTCAGCCAGCTTTGCAAAGCTGGCTGAGGAATCCTGGGAGTTGAAGTCCACAAGTCTTAAAGTTGCCAAGGTTGGAGACCCCTGAGCTACAGGGCCCACTGGTGTGCAGAAACCTGTCACAGCTCCTGCCCCAACCACATCCAGGTCCATTTACCTTTGCCTTTTTCTGCAGCTGCAGAAAACAATCACCTTCCCAAGCTTTCTGGTCAGGAAAATAGCCTGCCTATCCACTGCAGGGGGAAGAAGCCTCTTCTGCACATTTCCAACCTATATGATCCTGAACTTTTCTTTGCCAGTTGGGCCCGCAATACTTGCTAATATCCTCACTCCATCTTGTTTTAGGTCTCTTTCAAGGATGCTTTTTATCAAGTGGGGTCCATTCTGACTGCCTTGGTCCTCTGCCATCAGTCCTTCCTGCTATATGACCAGCCCAGTTCCATTTCAATTCTTTTACTCTCTTGATAGCATCATATATTTTTGTTTGTTCTCTAACCCATGTGCACATTTTTCTATCTTGTCTTGTAATGCCAAGCATTCTTCCCATGGCTCTTTGTGCCACCCTTAGCTTTTGTATTGATTGTGAGGTTAGTGTCCATGTTTCACTGTCATATGTTAGAGCAGTCTCAGCCGCCTCTGGGATAACATCCACCCATAGGTTTGGCTTGGAGTCTCTCAGCTGCCCACCATCCGCCTATAGCCCCAGCACTCTCTGCGCCGTTCCACCCTGTACCTCTCCTTGCCCTCTATTTTCCCAGCTCCGTGCGATCCTGGTGTCCCATCTCACAGTCCTGTTTGTGTCCGGTCCCTTGTCTAGCCCGTGCCTGCAATCACGGTGTCATGTGTCCCCTTTCACATCCCATTCCTATTCCCTCCCATGTCCTGGCACCATCTCCCGATGTGGCTGTGGTGGTGGCTTCCAGGTTTTCGCTGTGTGGACTTGGTGTGTTGGCTGGCCTTGGCCGTGGCTTCTGGATTCCTGACCGCCTGCCCAGCGCTGTTGAGAGGTTTGGCCGAGCATCACCAGCTGGTAAGAGGTCCCGCCTGCCACCCCACATCGGTGTCGAGCTCCGGGACTGGTCGCAGGACGCCCGGAGCCCAACAAGTAGGTAGCACACACTGATCAAAAACTTCTCTTTTCAGGCGTAGAACAAGATTGCTCTTGAAAATTATGCTTAGCTTGCCAGATGCCTGCCAACCGCATTTAACACACCCTTCAATTTCCTTTATTGTATTACCTTCCATTGAGATCCATTGACCAAGGTATATGTAGCGATCTTCTACATCTAGTTCTACTCCAGATACAAAAAAATTTCTCAAGGCACATAATATAACGCTAAAATACTATACACAGATACATTATAATGAATATATGAAAGCCTTGATTATAGGTAGAGTCAAGTGATGGAATAAAAGAAATTATAGAAGCTAAACCTATACCAGATAGACAATAAACTAGAATAATACACATTCCTCTGAAGGTGATCAGCCAGTCATTTGACTAGAAAATATGACAGGGGGAATAACAGAAGGGAACAAGCACATGTTCTTTAATTAGTTTATCATACAACTTTAAGGGATATCTCAATAAATGATTACACTAAATCAGTGGAGTCAACCTGGTCCCTACTACCAACTAGTGGGCGTTCCAGCTTTCATGGTGGGCAGTAGGGGTTTTGTCCCCTATTTATAAATCACCATTACTGTGGAACCGGTGGGCAGTTAGAAAATTTTACTTCTAACAGAGATACAAAAGTGGGCGGTAGGTATAAAAAGGTTGTCTACCCCTGCACTAAATGATATTGGAAAACAGTCTTTACACAATCTGTGGGCATCAGTTTCTTTAATGATACAGTAAGTATTTCCAGTTTTTGACAAATCATGGATATATGAAAAAAAAAAGTTTCGATTAAGGGGCTGCTCATGATATGTCATCTTGACTTGGATGAAATCACATACTCTTCTAATGATCTATCAACCTACAGGGAGTAACATACTATCATTTGTTAGACAGATAACAGATAACAGATGGAAGGGACCTTGTAGGTCATCTAGTCCAACCCCCCCACACCCAACCCTACACCATTTCTGACAAATGGCAGTCCAATCTCTTCTTGAAAGTCTCAAGTGATGGCGCTCCCACAACTTCTGAAGGCAAGCCGTTCCATTGGTTGATTGTTCTCGCTGTCAGAAAGTTCCTCCTTATTTCCAGGTTAAATCTCTCCTTGTTCAGCTTCCATCCATTATTTCTTGCCTGGCCTACAGACGTTTTAGAAAATAGCTTGACCCCTTCCTCTCTGTGGCAGCCCCTCAAATATTGGAAGACTGCTATCCTGTCTCCCCTTGTCCTTCTCTTTACTAGACACCTGTGGAAAACATTTAGTTCACACAGAATGCTCTGCCTGGTCTTATTAATGAGATGTTAATACCAGCATAGGCCCCATGTAACGTCCTAGAAAAAATTATGCATATCCTTCAGAAGTTAATCAGCATACTCCTGACTGAACAAATACTAGCATTAATGAGGACAAGTAAACAAGAAGCTATCTGTATAGAGAAACTGTGGAAGGAACTCTAACATAATAATATTCATGACAAATTATTCATGTCTTCACACACTCATTTTTTTCATCAATCAAGTGAGGCATTAAAAACAGCAAATTTCCCAAGCTACAACATGAGGACACTTCTTAATAAAACGGAAATCCAAAGGCAGAGCTTCAGAATTATGAATGTTCCCAATATAGTTGTTCAGATGTGCATTTGTATGCCAGTCTATTAATTTAAATGATTTTAGAATGAAGTAGAACACTGTATTAACTGTAAAATCAGCATGGTTTTAAAATTAGGAGGAAGAAATCTATCGATAATATGTGTTGTGCTGATGACACTGCTGTGACTGCTGAAATACAAATTTTCTGCAAACCATAGGAAAAAAAAATGAGGAATATAGTGGAAAAAATGAGGTAGATTAAATGGAAAGAAGACTCCATTAATGACAACAAACAGCCTAAGGAAAAGACAGTGAAGATCCTGAAGTGATGGATAATCTTTGCCTCTTAGAGTCAAGTATTAACAGCAAAGAAATAGGCAGTCAAGAAATATGCCACAGACCAACACATAAGAAATCAGTAATGAAAGCTTGGAAAAGTTATTCAGATGGTTGGATGTGTCTACTGGAATCATGCAGGAAGTGGTTTTTCTGTCACACTCTAGG